TGTGCTCTTCCGATCTTAAAGAAAGCCATCGAGATTAATAAAAGATTAAAATGATCAATAAACATTTGGAATTTTTATTATCAATTAACAGGAAATCAGCTACCAACAATGAAAACGATTAATAGCAATAACTAATAAAAATATATAACAAAAATAATATAAATAAAATAAATACAACACCTTTTTACTCGCAAATTGCACTACTTATATTAACATTTGCGAGCAAGCGGCCACAGTATAATTTTGAGGTTATGTTTTTACTGAAACTATTTATTGGTAAAACGGAACGCTTGTCCAGTAAAACAATATGGCGGCTAATACTGTACTGAAAAGCAATGGGAACGCAGCCTTAATTATTATATATTTCAGTGGTTGCAACCGATGTATCCATGACTGTCCATAACATGTCTAAAAAACATTGATCTAACAATAAATCATTAAATTAATATTATATTATTGACTAATTGCTTTAATTTTAGCAATTACTAAACCAGCCACGCTAACTTCCGTAAGGGTGTCAGTCTTTAATAATATCTCGTCGGTGCGATGGCGCTCGCGTCCGTCTCGCGCCAGAGTGGAGCGCGTGCGCGCGACCGTGCGCAACTTCACAGCTTACGGCGCCATTGCCGTGATGTCCATCGAGTCTGCCGTCTAGTCGATCGCGTTGTCTCCGCGACGCCCGTTTGCTCCGAAGTTCTTGACTCCGAGCGCGAGATCGCCATTTTATGTGTTTGGCACTGTCACGGGACGGGTGACACGGGTGCGTGCGTGCGTGCGTGCGTGCATGCGTGCGGTGCGGTGCAGTGCGGTGCGGTACGGTGCGGTGCGGTGCGATCGTGATACACCAGCCGACAAGGGCCGAGAGTGCATTCGCGTCCGTCCGTTCGCGTTTGTGCCTGGCGTACGTCGGAGTGCGGTTCAGCGTCGCTAAACATGTTGCCCGAACAACGGCCCGGCCCGGACGCGTATAAGTAACGACGGCGGCGGCCATCGGCCACATCGGCGAAGCGCTCGGCACTCGAGCGGGGTGTCGGTCGCGGTGCGAGTGGCACACACGACACGACGCGGCCCATCGCGATGGTGTAGCGTAGCGCGCTGCGCGAGGCGGGCCCCTGCGTGAGCGCGTGAGGAAAAAAAAGAGTGTGTTTCTCATCGCCGTCATCATCGTCACCGTCGCCGCGCCGTTGTCCTCGCTGCTGTAGTCGTCGTCGTCGTTGCTGCCGTCGTTGCTGTAATTATAGTCGGGAGTAGAGCGCACCAGCGAAACGCGACTTATCTCCCGCCCTTCGGTCCCATTGTATTGCTCGACTCTGTCGCACTCGTCGTCGATTACTGTGCCATCGTCGTCGCCGTCACCGTCGCTGTCATCGCTGTCAACGTTACCCTCGCCGTCGCCGCCGCCGCCGCCGTCGTCGTCGTCGTCGTCGTCGTCGTCGTCGTCGTCGTCGTCGTCGTCGCCGTCGTCGTCGTCGTCGTCGTCGCCGTCGTCGTCGTCGTCGCCGTCGTCGTCGTCGCCGTCGTCGTCGTCGCCGTCGCCGTCGCCGTCGTCGTCGGCGGACGTCGCGAGACGCCCGACGTCGTCGTCATTGGGACCACGGATCCCACCGATTACCCTGGATTACCCGCGACACAACGCCTCCTGGCCATCAGTTACGATGACTACGGTGCGCACTATACCCTCGGATAAGGTAAGCCTTCTCCCTTTTTTTCTTCTCTCTCTCTCTCTCTCTCTCTCTCTCTCTCTCTTTCGCTCTCTATTATATTTATCTACTTATATCAGGTGCATCTATGTCAATTTCTTCTCTCTTCCTTGCGTCTCTTTCGTCATCAGCTTGTAAGCACGTCTACCGCACCCTCCTGGCACCTTCAATCCCCGTCCTCCCCCCGCGCCGCGCCACCCCATCATCCTGCGTCGTCCTCGCGAAGGACGGCGGAGAGAATCCTCCTTTCTCGCCTCCTTCTGCCTTTCCTACGCCATGCCTCCCTCGCAACCACCACCTCCTCCTCTTCCTCCTACTTCTGCATTTCCTCCTGCTCGCCGCCTCCTCCTCTTCCTCCTCCCTTCGCATACTCCCGAGCGGAGCCTTTTGCGCCATGACGTCGGGGAAACTGGTGAGATATACGTCGAACGTGACACTACGCGCATCTGCCGCGTCCTCCGCGCGAAAATTTTGCGGTCGACAGGATTTTTCGGAATAAACGATATATCTTCTCTCATCGCGGGGATGTTTGCGTGCGCGACGACCGAATGTCACGCTTCGCAGCTCGAGGGAGGGCGGGAAAGTAAAGTAAGAGAACAAGAATATATGTAGAAGGGTGGGTCGCGTACGTGTACTTGACGTTTCGTTTCTCGGAATTAATTAAATGCACATTGGCCGTCAACAATTGATTGTCTTCCAACGTTGCGTTGGCTAAAACGAACGGATGCTTGCACTCGTGTATATTAACCGCGCTCATTGCCTTGACACTAGACGATCAAAGACGCTTGGCGGATGATAAAAAAAAAAAGAAAGAGAGAGAAGAGGACACAGAACTGGGAGGGAAACGAGATAAGGAAGAAAATATGAAACGTCACACTCGACTTATTCCCAAGCCGAGACGAGATATCGACTGCTCCAATTTAGAAATATCGGATGAATAGCTTCCCTTGTTTGTTTATCTCTATTGTCATGTATAGGCTCTGTGTTTTGACAGATGAGATAAGTCAACTCAGCATGTGTTACTGCCGTTGTATACGAATTATTAGTTTCTCCTATAATGAGTTTGAGTTTCTTTTTTTATTCATGCCATTTAACGCACACGTGAGAGAGAGAGAGAGAGAGAGAAATTTTCCGTTCTTATTTCACATTGACATTGATCTCCATTAAACGGATGAAACTCTCTGAATCGGGCGGGCACCACTTAGCGTTAAACGCGACGTTAAATGCATCGCGCTGCGGACCTTGGTGTCTTGAACGTTATACGCTCATAACGAAATACAGCCTACGTTCCATGTCGCAGTTGTCATTATATTCTTCTCCTGCTCCCCGTCTTCCATCTTGTCTCTCTTCTCTCTCTCTCTCTTCCTCTGCCACTCTTTCATTCGCATATCATCGTGCATTTAACGCGAGTGATTAAGTACAATTCTGAGTCTCATTTTTTGTCACGCTATTCGCGTTCATCGCGCTCGTTATTCTCACGTAATGAGAACATTACTTAGCGCTAAATGTGAAGCATGAAATATCGCGTATTGCTAATACGCGAGAGAACAACAAATGCTGGAATTCTGAATTTTCTCTCAACATGAGGAGGGGGAAGAGTTCTCTCCAGCATTCTGTCACGTTGTTATTGTTGATCAGGAGTCGTGCTCTTTTTTTCGATGACAAATCAAAGTTTCGAACGAAATGAAGATGTTTGAGATTAATCGCTCTGTGACTGACAATGAGTAGATTTTATAAATTTATTCGATTTAGGGTAATGCCTTTGGAGTAATACTTTTCTGTATTTTTTTTTTTTTTCAGTTAAGATAATCGTCTAAAGCAGTGATTCTCAGCCTTTTTGAAACCATTTTTAGAAATAGGCAAAATCTTGCATGCTGCATAAGTTTGTTTAGATTGCGCTTATATACGTATATATATAAACACACACAATTGGAAAACAATACATGTACGTTTCTTGAGAGATTTTTCGAGTTTTGAAATCATTGCTTGAAAGCTGCTCAATAAAGCTACTTATATTATGTAATATTTAGAAAAATTAATGAAAACAAAATTGTATAGATTATTTTCAAAACGGCCAAGGCTTGCGAACTGTGTAATGTTATTATTTTTATAGTTTGCATAAAATATTATAAAGTATTTCGTCAATAATTCTCACGATATCGTAATTATTCTTAGAAAATTTGAATGAACGTATTTAAGCGTAGGAATTACGCATTTGAGATTAAAAGCACAATCGTTTGCGTATTTCTTGCAAAAAAGATACGTTTAAAAAAAAACACATGCCTTGCAGCGCATCGAGATATAATGTTTCAATCTCGAGAACGCGAGACAAAGCTATTAATTTGTGTGGAAAATAACAGTCGACTTTAATCTGTGCGTTTAATTTGATTTATCTGCTCACAGGCTTGTACATCGTATTGTATAATGAAGTATATCTATCTTTCATATATTGTTATCATATTAACAAAAATTAATTCCGTAAATTCGAATTCTAATCGAACTTCGATCTTTCTGCAAGATTAATCGGGATCAACAGCACACAGCATTATTTTAAAATCTTAAAAAACGAAATTGATAAGAATATACATATTTAAAGTCTGTAAATGGGATCTCAGAAGCAGTTGTTATTTTACGAACGAATTTTCGATGAGTTTCGATATATCGCGTGTTTATAGATAATTTCGCTGTCCTGTCAATCGCTTATCACATCATTATTTTTCCTTCCTCACATTCGCGTCGGGTTTTTTCCGTGGAAAATTGTGAAGGCGACAGCAAAACGCGTTGTGGTATCAAAAGGAGAGTCGGAGAATCCTTCTCTCCCCCCTCCCCCCGGATTTCACTCTATTATCATACTTTCAGAAATTAATATTTCCATCTTGCGCGCTAGAGCCTTTTGATTATGGACTTGAGATTCATCGCGGATAACAATGCTCTTTCGCGCATCAACTTCGCTTCTCATCGAGTGTTCGCGTGTGGGTCGACGACTTCTTAATGTAATATTCAGGAATTAAAGGCTTTACTCTTCTTCACTTTAGATATCTGGATGTAATTAAAGTGTCGGATAGATCTTTCATAAGTCTTTAAAGTCCATCTTGAGTGACTTCGTAATAATAAACGTCGCATTTACGTGTCCTCGAGTTTGTAGAGTCAAATATCCATTTAATGTTACAACTATATTGTCAAATATTACAAATCTTTCGTTATAAGCCGAGCATGTGTAAATTATAATTTTGCATTAAGATAGCTCTATTTTTTCGTGATATTTAATTGTTCGGTTAAAAAAAATATCTTGCAACTGAAAATAAACTTTATAATGTGATATCATATGTATATTAAAATCTAATCTTTTTTTGGTATGATATTTAAATAATTTATTTGTTGCAATATTTAATAATATTTTGAATGAGAAGTAAAGTAACTAAAATATATCTTAATCTATACTTACAAAAGATATCATTAAGTTTTATTCCCTGATAATGTCGTGATGCAATTGAAGCACACATGTTGAAATATTTAACAGTTTACAAAATAAATAATGTTTTTATTATAGTATTTTACATTTAATATATAATGTATAATATTTAATATTTTATATATGTTTAATATAGTTTTGTTATAGTATTTTTTAAATTATAATATATTGTATGTATTATCTTTCCTTTAAAATCTCACACGAAACTTTCGTGTGAGAAGAATAAAGTACAATAGATACATATTAAATAAAAAGTAAAATCCAATCGAGAAATTGACGATATTCAAATTGATTGTCGCGTCGTTCTTTTCTTCCTATATTTCAAGTTTTCAGTTCACTAAAACCCTCGCAGTAATGTGTTTTGATCCACAATGTTGTGATCGTAACACGCGAGACCATTACGCGCGCTGTTCCGAGGCGCCGACAGGCCCCGGCATATAATGACGAAATTTATCAGTCACGCACGTTGTGTTAGAAATAATATTCCGTGCTCCGTTCTCATCCATGTCGAATTAAGCGAGCGGTTTCGGGCGACTTTTCACGAGGTAGCTCCGACGAGCGCAAAAATCATCTCTTTTCCCTTCAGCGTTTCACGGCCGTTTCGTGCGTCCGTCGTTTATACATACATACATACATACATATATATATATACCGTTGCGTTGCACGGCGCGTATCATCGTGCGCGATTATACGCGCCGCGTGCAACAAAGAAGCGTGACGAGTGCGCGCAACCTCCTTACGCGTTTGACTCTTAAACCGAAATAATTCCGAAAGTGCTTAATTAAAAAAGATACAGTTCTTGTAACACTGCATATTGCGTTTCTCTCATTTCTTTGGATTGCGTTATAAAGAGATATATGCCATAAATAAACGTGTGGAAATTAAATTCTCTCATGGATCTAGAAATTTCTTTAATGATTAAATCCGCCGATAAGTACGTATTTAGGTACCGTATATAACCTACTGTTTTTCGAGTTCCAAGAGCCTCACACACAACTTGGGCTGAGGAAACATCTGTGCAATAAATTCTCGTGTACGCAATACCGCGCGTTATTATTTTAACATAAAGTCTTAGCTCTTTACAGAATTGTGCAAAATATCACGGTAAAGTGGGCCGTTGATTTAAGGAATTTGTCGAGGGATCAACCACTATGGGAATCAGTGTACATTTTTTTAGAAATATATTGATAATATTGCGGCAATACAATACTAGCAAATACGCTATCAATGCATAGCAATACCTCGAGCAATATCTAGCAATACATTAGCGATACTATGCAATAGGTACATGAGGTAATAGATGGCAATATTACTGACAATACGAAAGCAATACAGTAGCAATACTAGCAATAAAGTGTATTGTATTGTCATAATTGGCAATCACTGTACATTTTTTTAGTAGTGGTTGACTTCTCGGAATTTGTATTAACCCTTCCAGAGCTATGAACATATTAACACGTCCAGCAAATAATATCATAAGCGCAATGAGCGTGTTTACGTATCACGGTAATATTTT